AATCTATAATTTAGAAGTTGCAAAAAATTAATTTTTGCAAATTTCATAACTTTAAACATTTTTATAAGGACGTCAAGGATTTTTTTTCAATCCTTAGAAGTTGTAAAATTTAGTGTTAAAACACTCCTACAGTGTAAATATTACTTTTATAATAGTGATACTATTGACATTAATCTTATGCATTTACTGTGTTGCGGGAAATTTTGGAGGGAGTTAACTTTGACAAATTGCTAAATTTTGGCGATTGACAAATTTTATTTTGGTGAATTTGTGGCCACGTGCCATTGAGCATGCATGCGTATAATGGCTCAAAATGGCAGATTTTTGTTTTGGTGAATGGCTATCAAAATGCCAAATTTTCCATATTTAATTCCCTCTAAAATTTCCCACTATACAGTATACAAATAATGATATATTATTTATAATATGCATGTATATGCATCTCTACTTCTCTAGTTCAATGAGTTGACTCCCCACCCTCACTGGGAGCAGAGGGTACCTCAGAACAGACAGGAACATAAGGAGCTGCTCAGTGCCCTCTCCTGCCCTGTCTCATTTGATTTGTGTAAAGCAGTGGCAAGGACTGAGCATGTTGTTGGGTAGGTTAACCAGCACTGACTATAAACTTGTATTTATTTACATTATTTTATGCGTACGACTTTTACCAGGGTTTCCCACAGAATTTTGGCATAGTGCTCATGCAGCTTCTTGTCAAGTTGCTTGAAAAGTACAGGGTATTTTAATAAAAATTACATGAAGATATATTTCTCCATTTTTATGATTTTTTCTGGTGCATAAATGTGTCCTTATGTTGTGTATTAACTTTGAGCTGATTCCAATTTAGATTTTTATGGATTTTTAAGGTGCTTAAAATGCCATGTACTGTACGTATTATAGCTCATGAAGCTCATGCTGTTTAGCTCACTTAGCATGCTTTGTGGGAAACCCTGGTTTTTACTCTATGGAGCATAGGATTTAATTTTCACTGGTTTTTTTTTAATTTGTAGAGAGTTATCAAAATTATCTGAAAGTAATGACAGTGAAGGTTAGCAGTTAGCACTCTCTCTCTTTCCCTCCCTCTTAGTCATGTTTTTATTTTTATTTGTTACTTTCCTAGCTTTATCAAATGGGGTCTCTTTATTTTATGAAGTTTTAAAGTTTATAACATCAGAAACGAAACAGTATCCACCAACCTGCCAGTTCCTCTCATCATGTATACAAATACTGGGACAAGTAAATCATTTAATATTGTCACATGTACAATTTATGGTGGATATCCAACATTCAAACATTATTGTCACTTGGGATGGTTCATCATTCAGTTCATGTACATAAATGCTTCATAACTGTTTGAGGGGGCAATATTGTATATACATGTAGCTTTGGTGTAGTAGAATAAGAGATTTTTTGAATTTTTACAGCCAAGGAACTATGCTATGTAGTCTTCTGTGATAAAAGTATAATGATAATAATGATGTGTTGAAATGGTTTCAACTTTTGACATTTATCTCATATTCCTAGCATTTTGCAACAACATGTATCTTCCTTTTCTCCTTCTCTCTCCCTCCCTCTCTCCCCCCTCTCCCTCCCTCTCTCCCCCCTCTCTCCCTCTCTCCCCCTCTCCCTCCCTCTCTCCCTCATTAGGAATTCATACACCGGCACCCCAGTCAGACAGCCACCATATTACCGTTATTGTTAGCCCAGAGGTCACTGGGTGACATCCTTGCTCCTCTCTTTGACCCCAATCTCTGTCCTCCTGACTTTATCTCAATGTATGTCAGCGTGAGGCAAGTACCCATCAAAGAAGGCCCCACCATTGCTTTCTCTACACTCACTAAAGTGAGCAGTCATATTTACCATGACACTG